TCAGTCCTCACTTACACCCTCATCTAGCGATTTTTTGAGGTTTTTAACGATTTCAAGTGATTTTATTCTGAAGATAATCGATTAAACTATAAAAAAATCTGATCAAAACGTGGCGTTATAATCGACTTTTAATCAGAAAATGATCGATTATACTCTAATTTTAGTCATTTTCTGAATCGAGATATAGCCGTAATAAAAACAAGCATTCATTGAAAAGTGATATATAAATCATACAATTTAATAGAACTTCTAACCAAGATAAAAAGATGAATTATGTCAACTAAACTAATTCATAATTCAAAACGGATGCTAAGACACTGGATTTTGCGACTACAAACTTCATTAAATTATATACGTAAATGTTCCTATAATTAGCAAGAAAGCGTTTTATTAATAATTTTACCCAATATACAAAATGCGTCATTCATTATTAATTTCTGCATTTAGTTCATGTCATCGCTTCGACTAGGAAAACAAGAATGACATGTATATGAGTTCGACCGGAGAAAAATCTAAGCTGACTTAATTCAAAAATGAAAGAAGATTACTTCAAGGAACATGTCAGAATTACCACTTACTAAATCTAATATGATATTTAGTTATTTGATAGAATACGTTCTGATGCAATTTGTTAAAAAAACTGAATTTCATTTAAACATTCAAAATCTTAACATTGACTTGAATATAGTACTTTTTGTTATTTTACATTGTTATTTCTAATATAATTTTTCAAAAAAATCTTCTTGCATTTTTTGTGAGAAGATTTTCTGTAAGCTTTAATATAAAAACGGATGTAGTGCATTCTTATCTTCTCATAAAATTAATTCATTAGGCTTCTACTGAAAGCAAAAAAGCTAATACTCTTCCTACGTCATAAGTTTTTTTATCCATCGGCTATAATAAAAAAGAAAATCTTCTGAAACGAACATCTTCACTCATTACATTAAAGTACTTGCGAAGAACGTTAGAATGTCATCCAACAATAACACAAGCAATACATTAGCGATCCTTCAAATTCAAAGCGCTTTTCGATATTCAAGTCTTATTTTAGGCTTTATCCTATTGATCGGTGGTGTATTAGGCAATATTCTTAATATTATCGTCTTCATTAAAGTGGGAAACTACAAGAACAATGCATGTTCACTGTATATGTTTCTCCGTACTTTTTTTGATCTCTACGTTCTTCTTGTTGGTCTAACTACTCGAATTCTTAGTGCAGGTTTTCAAGTAGATTTTACCTTAATGAATAGAATCTGGTGTAAAATTCGCCTAGGTTTTATCGATATTAATGGTATAACTACATATACCCTGATTTGCTTACAAGCTATTGATGCTTTCATGTGTTCTTCTCCATCAGTTCTTGTGCGACAAAAGAGTAATATTCGAATAGCACGATATTTAGTCATTGGTACTCTTTGTTTTTGCTTTATTCATGAGATACCTTACTTCATCTTTCAAGATCTTGTTATCGTAGGTGGTGCCCCCATGTGTATCACAACAAATGCAATATTTGCTCAGTATCGCAGCTATTTTGTCGCTCTTTGTATTAACACTACTATTCCTATCATAGTGATCTCTATTTTTGGCTTTCTCACTGTCCGACATATGAAAACTATCGCTGTGACAAGAACACTTTCTTCTCTGACAAGACAAACAATTAGTATGGCATTATTTCAGATAGTTGCTGTATTAGTATTTAATGGCCCATATACAGCTTGGCTAATCTACTCAGTAGCTACAACAAATGCAGTTAAAGATAGTTATAGACGAACAGTGGAACAATTAATTGCTTCATTTGCTGCTACTTATTCTTACGGCCCGTATGCGGTAAATTATCTTCTTCTTACTTTTAAAACAAATATTTATTCTTCTCTTTTTCTTTAGAGTTCATTTTATTGCTATTGTTTGTCAAAAAGATTTCGAAATCAGTTGATGGTTTCTGTTAAAGAGCTCGTTGGTAGTATACGTACGAATCAAGTATATCCAAATACTCAAAGAAGTGGCACTCGTACTTAAATATTTTTTTTGTTCTAATTTGTTCTTCTGTTGGCTGTTCGTAAAACGTTTTAAAACATCAATAAAAGCATGTTGAAAAATAAAATATATGATGATTTAAAAATGCCTGTAATAAATGAGAATATTGTTTTCACTAGAAATATCGACACATTCATTCAAATATTGTAGATACTTGCATGTTTATTATAGTAGTTGTATGATGTATTAAGTTTGTTTAATAGATTTCAAAATGGAATTTAAAATAAATCTTGTTGTCATAATTGAAATATTTGATAGTGGGTGTGAGTTGGATATTGGTGAAAGTATCGGCGATTGGTTAGTATATCTCTCACACTTACAGAGCTACTCTCACCTAGTCAGCCCCGACGCACACCTTTATCCACTGATTTTCGAGATTTTTAAAGATTTTATTTGATTTTTAGTCATATTTTTACATGGGCTATATTCGCAAGAAAAGCAAACATTAATTGAAAAATGATATATAAATCATACAACTTAATAGAACTTCTAACTAAGATACTAATGTGAAGGTGTATGTCAACTAAACTAATTCATAATTAAAAACGAATGTTAAAACACTGAATTTTGTGAACATGAACTTTATTACATTACATACGTGAATGTTCCTGTAATGAACAAGAAAGCATTTTATTAATTATTTTAGTAGGCATACAAAATACGTCATTCATTATTATTTTCTGTTACTAAAAGATGTCGTTGCTTCGGGTTACGAAAACAAAAATGATACATATCAGTTTCACAAGAACAAAAACTGCACTGTTTTAATTATGAAACGGAAGCGGATCATTTCATGACATATATCAAACCCACATCTTATGAAATCTAATACGATATTACGTTGTTTGACACACTACTTCTTGTGAGTAGATTTATATAGTTTCTCTTGCTCTACACTGCCATTCATAGTCTAAATATTTAAAAAATATACTTCTATTCTCTGTAGTCTTTAATAGAAAAACGAGTGTAGCGCATTTTTTTCCTCTCATGAAATTATTCTAGCGGACTTCTAATGAAAAGAAAAAGCTCATTCTCTTCCTACGTCATAATATTTCTTATCTATATGGTATAATATAAGAGAAAATGTTCTGAATGTAACATCTTCACATTATATAAACGTATTCAGAAGGAATATCACGATGTCATCCAACAATAACACAAACATTACATTAGCAATTCTTCAACTTCAAACTGCTTTTCGATATTCAAGTCTTATTTTAGGGTTTATTCTATTGATCGGTGGTGTATTAGGAAATATTCTTAACATCATAGTCTTCGTCAAAGTTGGAAATTACAAGAATAATGCATGTTCACTTTACATGTTTGTCCGTACTTTTCTTGATCTTAACGTTCTTCTTGCTGGTCTAGCCACTCGAATTCTTGCTACAGGCTTTCAAACGGACTTTACTTTAGTGAATCGAGCTTGGTGTAAAACTCGCATAAGCTTTACCGAAATTAATAGTGAAAGTACATATACTTTGATTTGCTTACAAGCTATTGATGCTTGCATTTGTTCTTCTCCATCAGTTGCTGTACGACAAAAGAGTAATATTCGAACAGCACGGTATTTAATAATTGCTACTCTTTGTTTTTGGTCTATTCATGAAATACCTTACTTCATCTTTCAAGATCTTGTTATCGCAGGAGGTACTCCCATGTGTATCACAACAAATACAATATTTGCTCAATATCACACTTATTTTGCCGGTCTTTGTGTTGTTGCTATTATTCCAATCACAGTGATATGTATTTTTGGAGTTCTCACTGTTCGACATATGAAAACTATCAGTGTGACAAGATCACTATCTTCTCTGACAAGACAAACAATCAGCATGGCATTATTTCAGATACTTGCTGTATTAGTATTTAATGGCCCAAATGCAGCTTCGCTAATTTATCAAGTGATTACAACAAATTTAGTTAAAGATACTTACAGGCGAGCAGTGGAACAATCAATTACTTCATTTATTGCTACTTATTCTTATGGCCCATTTGCAGTAAGTTGTCTTTCTGTTACTTTCAAAACAAATATTTATTCTTCTCTTTTTCTTTAGAGTTCATTTTATTGTTACTGTTTATCAAAAAGATTTCGAAATCAGTTGGTGGTTTCTGTCAAAGAGGTCGTTGGTAGTATACATACGAACCAAGTAGTTCCAAGTACTCAACGAACTGGCACTCGTACTTAACTATAGACACAAGTTGACAATTAAATATATTGGTTGTTCGTATATCATTTGTCTTGTTCTATTTTGTTCTTCTATTGTCTGTTTGTAAAAAGTTCTCAAGTATTAATAAAAATATGTTAAAAAATAAGTTACATGATGATTTAAAAATGACTGATAAATGAAAATATTGTATTTAATTGAAAGATTGCCATATTCTAGAAACTGAACATTTATTATAGTGGTTATGTGACATATTGAGTTACCATAATTCGATCATTTATATTAATAGAACTCAATCATCAAAAATTGTGTAGTATTTAACTATGGAAATTATATTGTATAACTTGAGGGTGTGGGTGTGGTTGTGGATACTATACTCACACCCACACCCGGGATTGAGAAGGGTTTCGGTCGAGTGAGGGCAAGAACTGGTTTCCCCTGAGATCGTCATATTGTATAGAAAAGAAAAATTTTCTTATTGATTCGTATCTATAATATCTAATACTAATTATTGACTGCAGTTGTCCAATCCTACAAGATAATTATAAATGCAATTGATGAAGGAAAGTTAAATATAAAAGTTGTCTCCATTTCAGTAACAATTCTTTCTACATAGAGTTTCTTTGCTTCAAAATATATAGTAGGATCGTCTATATATTATGGGTATGAATTTAAGTAGAGATGACAGATCAGTAGAACACGCATAACAATACTCACGCCCTCAAGATATATTTATCAATGAATAAGAGTAAAAATTACTTTTGATATATCATTTTTTTGTTCATCTACACATCTCGTATCGAAGATTCACGAGGTTAAATGAGATAATATTAATTGATTCTTCATTTTTCATTTGAAAATTCGACATTTGAGATATTTTTACAAATCTTTTTAGTTCCAAATGATTTCTCTACAAATAAAATCAGTTTCTGCAATGCCAACCTTTGATTAAGATAATATTTCTACTTATTATCAATGAAACACAACAAATTAAGATTTGTTTTCTTTTCGAATAGAAATGGATAGGTGAGGGTGCGGATATGAATTCATCTTTTCTCCACTTACACTCACCCCTTATTCCTGAGATATCAAAATAGAAGAAATAAAAAAAAAGACTTTTTATTTGAATAAGAGAAGCATTTCACTCTGCCAGTGTACTTTCATATAAATCAATTTGAAATCATAACAAAGAAGAGGTTATGCTATTTATTGTCTTTTCAGGAATGTTATAATCATATCTTTTTTTGCTTTCTCTATATCCTCTATTGACGGTTTATTCTGATTTAAATAATAAAATATATGTGTAAAAAGACAACATATAGAAACCAAAAATGAAATAACATTTCTTTTTCTTCTATTTCATTAATGAAGAAAACGTCATACATTATAAAAGTTTATTAGACTTTTTTCCATTTGAGTGGTATTTTAAAATGTTGTCATCTCATGTGTTTAATTCTTCTTTTTTAAATTTGCTCGAAGTTGTCTTACGATGAAATATGAATTGTATGTAACAATTTCACTTTTTACTCTCGGCTTCCTACTATTTGTTACTTTTTTAAAATCTATGGAGTATGAGGAGTAGAGATATCGCCAGTTATTTTGCTGATAAAAATAATAATAAAAAATTGTGTTGTCGTTAGATTTTCGCAGAATTTTTTTTCTTTTTTTCCTTTTTCCGCAGACTGGAATAGTCAGTGAAGAACAAAAAAAATAGTCAAACTGCCGTAAAGCAACAAAGAAAATTGTTTACACAGCATTCTATTTATTCTCTTGTCTTCTAGTTTTTTTTCTTTCTGTTCTGTGTATGTCTAATTACAACAGTCTAGTATTTCCTGATGTTGAATATTTCCATCCGTCTCTTTACTATGTGAGTTGCCGTACATTCCATGGTTGTGGGTGTTTCTCTTTTCTTCACCCACACCCACACCCTCATCCCACACTCATCCACACCCTCATCCCACACTCATCCACACCCACACCCTCACCCCACACCCATCCAAATCTACACCCACCCGCATCCACACCCCACCCCCACCCCCACACCCACATACACCCTCAAGATGGTTTTTTCTGTTCTTCATAACAACGGAAAATGCGCTTGTTTATGTGCACATTTTCTCTTTTTTTCTACTGAGGGGAAAGCATAATTTAAATTCTGGTTATTTATTAAGATTTCTTTTTTAGTTGGAAGAAATCAAGATTGTTTCATTAATATTTCAAAAAAATTCTTCATAAGTTTCACTGTAAGTATCGAAACATAACCAATTTAAGAAAGGAAATTTTCAAAATGTCTCAACTTTTGATCAATATGATTTGGTTGGATCAAACAAATGATCATGTTATTCTTAAAACTGAACGCATAGCAACTCATTTATCGTTATGCAAGATTGACCCATATCTCAACATATTCCGCAATATAGACTCATGTATAGATCATATTAATAATATATCTCAATATGAGAACACAATTTTTCTATTTATTTCCACTCAAATATCTTCATCTTCAATCAATTCACTTCTGCAAGTATGCGAAGAACTCGTAAAAATCGATTCAATTTATATTCTATGCGATTCATTTGAAATGAATGTTGATTTTTTTGAAATCTCAACAAAAATATGTTTTATATCAACAGGTGTCGAATTAATGTTGGAAGAATTGGATCAACTTCAATGTCCGAGACAAAGACGTCGAGGAGAATTTAAACGTCTAGATTTTATTATTAATTCAATGCCTAGTCAAGCAAACTCAATCATTCTTGGTGACGATGCTAGCAGTGCAGCTCAACTTGATTTAACAATGGAATCCGACTCAACTAATCGACAAGAATCTGAATTTCTTTATGGAGAATTTATACGAGAGATTCTAGTTGAATTACCATCGTCAGCAGAAGAAATGCTCGAATTCTGCCGTCAGAAGTATATCAATAGTGAAGCCAATTTGCAAACTATAGAAGAATTCGATGAATACTATGAAGCAAGAAATGCCATCTTCTGGTATACAAGAGATACGTTTCTTTATCGTCTGTTAAATCAAGCTTTGCGAGAACAGGATATAGATACCCTATATGCACTGAGATATTTCATTAAAGATCTTCATCTACAATTAGAAACAGTACATGAATCACATCACAGTGGCACCAACAATTCGTCTACTGAATCCACGAGACACACAGTTTATCGTGGACAATTGATGGCTGTAGATGAATTTAATAAAAAAATACGTGATAACGTAGGAGGATTTTTCTCAGTACGTAGTCTGTTTTCTACGACACAACAAAGAGAAAAATCCTTAAGATACGCTGGTGATGGTAGTAGACTTCAGTCTGATAATGAATATAGTGTAGTGTTCCAGATTACTATGGACGAAAAGATTAACAAATATGCTTATGCGGATGTTTCATCTGTAAGTGCATTTGATGACGAAGAAAGTGAAGTTTTATTCGCAATGGGTGCCGTATTTCGAATAATATCAATTGTGGAGGAAAATATAGGTTTCTGGGTGGTTGAACTGACTCTTACAGATGACGAAGATAAAGAACTCAGAGCAATAAGTGAGTACATGCGAGATGAACTTCTAGAACCATTGCCTCTTCAACGTTTGGCACAACTATTGTATGAAATGGCAAACTATGATAAAGCAGAGAAATATTATCTTCTATTACTTCACGATCCTGAAGTGGTTGAGAACTTAAAACTTACTTCAATAGTTTTGAATGATCTAGGCCTGATCTATCATGAAACCGAGCAAGTTGAGCAGGCAGTGGTATATTACAATAAATCACTACAGTTGAAACTTGAAAACCTGCCTGAAACAGATCCTTCATTCAGTGTCGTGTATAACAATTTGGGAGAAATATATCGTGAACAGAATGAGTATGAGAAGGCTCTGTTTCACTATGAGAAAGCTATATATTACTATCGCAAAGCTGTAGCATCAGAACTGAATGCACTTTGTCTCCCAAGTGAAAACCTACTTAGTACCTATTATAATAATATTGCGTTAGTTTATAATACACAACAAAACTACCCTGAGGCACTGAAAATGTTTCAGAAAAGCCTCGAAGTCGATTTGAAAAGTTTACCACAACATCATCCTTTATTATCCATTACTTTCAATAATATTTCGCAAACGTACTATGGAATGGGTGATTATGAAAAGGCGGTAGAATATCTACACAAGACGTTGGAAATTAAACATAGATCATTACCACCAAACCATCCTACCATAGGTGATGCCTATAGGAATTTAGGTAAAGCAGTTTATGCTCAAGGTAAATGGGAAGAAGCTTTAAATTATATGAAGAAAGCATACGATATCAATTCAAAAACCTTCAGCTCAAATAGTTCAAAAGTCATTGAGACTTTAGAATGGATAACTCGTATAGAGAAAGAGATTCATATAGTGAAAAACAAAAAGAACGATAGAGAAAATGTTTAAGTAATAAAATTGTTTCATATAACTAATGAGAAGTAGGGTGTGGGTGTGGGTGTGGGTATGGGTGTGGGTGTGGGTGTGGGTGTGGATGTGGGTGTGGATGTGAGTTATTTATCTACACTTTTACCCTCACTCATATTCACATTCACCCACACCCACACTCTCACAGCACTTAAATCTATATGAATTCTTTTTCTCTTCCTTTCCAATAACATTTCTTGTGTATTGTGAGACTTTGAATGGCTTTTTTTCTCAATCTTTGCACATTCTTGCGCAATAAAATGTGTCGTTGGAAAAAAAGAAAAACGTGGCAAATGTTTTGAGTTTATAAAACAAACGAAACGAATCATTTCGCGAAAAAAACATTCAGTCATATCCACGCCATATCGTTCAAAATTTACAAACTATTCGATTTAAATAATTTCATTTGGGTAAGTTTTACATTTAAATCATTGAGAAAAAGTCGAATAAATGACTTTAATATTCATTATATATAAATAATTTAAATTTTTTGATCTTATGAAAAAAACCTATTTGAGAAGACAACTATTTTATTTTGAATTACTATTGAAAAAGAATAAAAGAAAATAATAATTAGATCAAATTTATCGTCTCTGAAATAGAAAATTGTCTATAGAATAAATACAATCCACTGTATATATTATGTCAGATACTAATCATTGAAATATAACTAACTCATATTTAATAATTTTGAGTAAAATATGTAGACGAATTTGATGGAAACTAAAAAATAAACTATTAAAATTAGAATAAATAGTTTTCGTATCCATATCTAAATATAATTCTTATATTTTTTATGGGTGGGTGTGGGTGTTGGTAGAGGAAGAATGAATTCACACCCACACCCACACCCACACCCACACCCTTTATCGGTAATATTAGAAAAAAATGGAAATCAACACTGATCATGACTTTGTTTTTAAGGTGATTGTTATTTGATTTCTTTCATATGCTGTATTTGTTTCAGTATTTTATCGACATAATAAATTGTGGATTCGATCTCTAATTGAAGCAACTCTAATCTTCATCAAGCACAATATTGTGTAGCACAATGACCTCAAGACAAAAGTCATCGTTGAACTTCGTCGAAACTTTCGTACTTAGTGGTGCTGCAGCCATGGTATCAAGAACCATGAAAACTCCGGCTGACAAATGGGCATACTTTGTGACATACCAAACGCGAGATATGTAAAATGGCCTTATTCCTAGACCATATAATGGTTTTATTGATTGTCTGGTACAAACGTACAAATATAGAGGCATTAGTGCATTATGCCAAGGCAACTTGAGACTATGTATTCAGTATTTTCCTATTCATGCATTGAACTTTGCTTTTAAAAATGAAGTTAAACGTATATTCAAGCAGAGAAGTAACGAGTCATATTGGATATTTTTCTTCGAAAATTGTGTCAGTGGTGGTATAGCTGGTGCATTATCTTTAGGTTGTATGTACTCATTGGTTAATGCTCGACAGCGTCGTTTGGCGGATTTTAAGTTGGGAAAAAGTAAATTGACATTCAACAGTCTTATTGACGTTTACAGAAAAACATTACTAACTGAAGGTATAGGTGGTCTCTATCGTGGTTTTGTCATTGCATGTCTTCATGCCATTATTTATCGTGGATGTTATTTCGGCTTTTACGATACATTGAAAACAATTTTACTTGGACAAAATCCCAACTTTTTTCTCTCGTTTATACTAGCCTATGGTGTTACCGCAGTGTCGGATCTAATCGCATGGCCATTTGATACTATTCGAAGACGTATGATGATGCGAGACCGACTTTCTATTTCTTGGACATGTAAAGGCTACATGGATTGCCTATTTCGAATCATACAAAATGAACAAATGTCAGCTTTATTTAGAGGAGCTGGATCCTTCGTCTTCAGAAGTATTCCGGGTGCTGGGACTCTTGCTGCATTTGACCTTTTTGTTAAGATATATCTTCATATTAAAATATATTGCGAGTAAAGGTGAGTCCGTGGTCATTATCTGTTTCGAACCTGACACGATTCTCATCAGATGACTTTACTCTTACTACAA